CGCCCCCCGCCCCCCCCCCAATCTTTAGCGTAGAAAGGAGGGCAGTGCCCTCTAAGCCTGAAACCCTGGCCTTGCAGCCCCCGTTGGCCTAGAGCACTTGGACGTAGGAAGCAGAGTGGTTTTCACCTTCACATGAGCTTGCTCCTCAGAAACGTCTAGAAAATGAGCACGGGGCGACCGAGCTGGACCCCCAGCAAAGTGCCACAGCCCAGCGGCTGACACACAGCCGTGGACGCAGCCATGCTGGAGCCCAAAGGCCGGGACAGGGAGAGCGGCCAGGTCTGCGTCCTGAGGCCGCGCTGTGTCTTCAAAGGGCCATCGTGCCCATCTGTGTCCTAATCCCTTCTCACGGGGACACTGTTAGGGTCGAGGCCACACGTAGGACCCACCACACGCCCTGCCCCTTTAGAGCCTTGTCTCCAGTGCAATCGCATTCAAGGTACGGCGAGGTGTGGCATCGGACTGGGGACACACACCACCCACCATGAGTGCTTAAGGAAACAGTGGATTCTTCCTCCTTCGGTGGCAGGGATGTGAGACATTTTCTCTGCAAGACAGATTTACTTTTAAAAAAGACAAAATGCACACAGAGGCCGGGAATGTGCACAGCTGCCGGGCATGTGCAGTCGGAGGCCCTAGAACAAGGCGGGTGTGATGGTGACCAGCCAGAGGGAGGGTCTCAGGGCGGACGGGCGCTGGGGTCTGTGGGGCGCGAAGTGCGGGCATGTCCTGTGCTGGCAGTGTCCATGGCCCGCCGTTCCGCCAGACGGCCCGGGGTGCAGGGCCTTCGCAACATCTTCCCGTCTAGGCTCTGCTCTGCTCTCGGCTCCGTGGTGCCCATGACACCGGTAACTGAAAGGGCATGGCGGTGCCCACCCCGCGTGAGTCCTGATGCTCCTGAATTCTCGATGTCTGTTTAGCTAAAACAAAATTCTCGCAGCAATTTTTCCTCCTTAATAATCCACTGCCTAGGGATCAGCAGTTAGCGTAATGGCTATGTCGCTGGACTCCCACATAGTCGACCGCGGTTCAAGTCCTGGACCTGGCGGCTTAAACTCATGCCGGGTGCATGTGCATGCGTGCCCAAGATCCTGAGAGGAGAATAGAGGAGAAGGGATTGTGGCGTGGCCATCCCCCCTGGGGGGTGATTTCTCGCTTTCTGTCTCTCTGTCTCTCTCTGTCTGGCGAGTGCACGTGCCCTCTAGCGAAAACCTCTCAAAAAAAAAAAAAAAAAACCGGGAACCACCA